CAGAACATTGAGTCTGGGTAATTACAAAGAAAAGAAACTTTGTTTTGAAACAGGGTATGTCTCAGGCTGCCCTTGAACTAACTATGTAGTAGAGGATGATCTTGAACTTTTGATCCTACTGCCTCCACCTCCCCAGTTTTGGTATTACAGGGGTGTGCTGCCTCACATCCCTGCTGTAGGGGCTTTGGGGATGGAACCCAGGTCTTCATGGACTAAGCAACAGCCTCAGGGCTCTGCTGGAGCCTGGAAAGTCTGAGATATCTTGTCACTCTCTGGCAGGGATTTTATGTTGTTTCAACTTGATACAGAAAGCAGAAGGGCATGTGCGTTATGGAAGAGAAGCCCAAAGAAGCTGGGGACTCCAAACTTGCTTCATAACAGCCTGCCATCATGGCAACTAATCCCTATGTGGGCTCCATGCCTATGATCCTAATTCTTCCTATTGGGTCCTGCTTCCCAACAAAGCCATACTAAAACCCAACTTCAACATGAGTATTGAAAAGTCAAAACTAAATTAAATCATAGTATATTCCTATCTCATTTTACACACACACACACACACACACACACACACACACACACGAGAGAGAGAGAGACAGACAGAGAGAGAGAGAAGAGAGAGATATGCACATATGCACACTTTTCAGAAATTCTAACATTAAAGTGAAGGGGAACCCCTCATAAGAAAACTAAATGAAACACAGATTACTATTCTTGTGATCTTGGGACAGGGGAAAGCTGTTTGTCTAAGCATGATAAACAATCATCTTTATAGAAGAGATGGACCCATTTGAGTACATAAAATATTAAATTGTTTCATGTGATATGGAAACACTGTAAACATGGTTGTAAGGTAACTAAATGATACAGCATAGACAAAGAATAAAACAATTCAAAGCAGGTGTTGACAGTGTCTGTAATTCCAGTGCTCAGGTAGTTGAGCTGGAGGATCACCATGAAGTCCAGGCTACCCAGGCCACAGAATGAGACACTGTATCAAAAAACTGAATAGCAACTATTCATATGCAAATTGCTGTTGTCAGCCAACCCTTATAAAAGGAAAGAAACTGCAAATGCATGTAGGTAATTCACACCAGTATAAATTTAAGAACTGCTAATTAAAAGGTACTGCTGGTCATTTTCTTGATTACAGACAAAAGAAACTGTCACCAGTTGGTTTCAGCAATAAAGGAATTTATAGGAAGCCTATCAGGTTAGCTCACAGTGAAAACAGAGCTGGAGAAACAGGCTTGGGCAGAAACTCAGGGAGGCAGACACCAGTAAGAACTTGTCACTAATGTAGCCAGCAGGACACTGGCTGCAGCCATGGCTGGCATTATCCCTCACTTCTGTTACACTGCTGAACACACTTATGTCACACTGCTGTACACACACCTATGGGGTGATATGAAGTGTCATCTCCAACTAGCCTCGTTTCTATACTTTCAGAGTCTAAGTCCAGAGAGGCACATCTGGTTGGTCTTCATTAGGTCACCTTCCTAGGTCCTGGTTAATAGGGTAGGAAGAAGATACTCTCTCCAAACCTGCTCTGTTTTCACAATGGAAGCTTGAGTTCTCTCTTCTGATTTTGTGTCCCTTCCAAACTGAAAGTTGGTTTGAATGTGGAAGAGCTAAAAGTTCAGTTTGTATTCAACCTCATTCCTACAAATAAAAACAAATTAACATGCCAGTTAAGATCATAACACTTCTTTTCATGGCCGTTAAAATATATTGCTATCTTCCCCATGGCTACTCAGAAGAGTATGTGGCACTTTAATACATTACCAGATATCAACACAAATGTGTAGATAGGCATCAATCCTTTCCAGGAATGAAAAGCTGATTCTCAAACAAACAGAGTTTCCCCCAAATCTCTCCACTATCAAATAGTGTTAACTTGTTCAAACCTGGCCTTCTGACTCCTAAAAATGGTGTTGCTCTCTGGGTTCTTTTTTTTTTTTTTTTAATTAAAGTGGCCAATGTGATAAAGATGATAAAACTCAGCACCATCTCCTGGATGGGAACTGTGTTCTCAGATAAACCTGCCCTGGGGTTGGCTTGGCAATATATGAAGTACACAAGCTCCTTGACAGGAGTTTCAGCATAAGGGCAGCTGCAAGAATAAGTAAAGCATAGGCAAGGGTACTCCCAGTGTGCTCTTGTTTCTCATTTGTGTTTCCCTAGCATAAGTGTAAGGGAGGACAGTGGGATATTTATTATGGAGTGTTGGTTCCAACAAATTTTAAAGAGCAAACATATTGGGCTGAGAGATGGCGCAGTAGTTAAGCATGCTGGCTGTTCTTCCCGGGTACCTGGGTTCAATTCCCAGTACCCACAGGGCAGCTAATGTTTATGATTCTACTCTCAGGGAATCTGATGGAATCTTCTGGACTTCCAGTACACTGTACTGGTTGTACAAATATACATTCAGGTAAAACACTCATAAACATAAAAATAAATAAAACCTAAGCAGCAGCAGCAGCAGAAAAAGAAGAAGAAGAAGAACAACAACAACAAACAACAGATTAGTGCTCACAGGAGAAGTCTTCAAAGCCTCCTCTGGAAAAGCCAGGATTGGATGGTTTGGGGGTCTCTGGGGACCAATATGCCTAGACTAGTAGGAGGAACTTGGAAAGGCAGTCCTCAGATATCCCTCCAGGAATTCAGATGTAATAAGGATATACTCTATAGAATAAGTGATCTTAACAGAGAATCCCAAATGAGGAAGATGGGTGAAGTCTTGTGGGTTAAGCCTACAGTATACGGAAAGTGACTGGTGACTTGAATTAAGAGGATCCCTTTATAAGCTCATGTATTTGAATGCTTGAGACCTAATTAGTGGAATTGTTTTGGATTTTGGTAAGAATTAGGAGGTATTTCCTTGTTGGAGGAGGTGTGCCACTGAGGGTGAGCTTTGAGTTTTCAAAGGCCCACACAAACCTAGTCTCTCTGTATCTGTGTGTCTGTGTGTCTGTCTGTCTATCTCTTGCGCCCTCACACACACAAACTCTTGTTCTCGATCTCATTGTCTCTGCCTCCACCTTTTGGATAAGATGTAAGCTTGTAAGCTCTCAGTTACTACTTCAGCCTCATGCCTGCCTGCCTGCTATCATGCTTCCTACAATGATGATCATGGACTAAGTCTCTGAAACTGTAAGCAAGCCTCCTATTAAATGCTTTCTTTTATAAGTTGCCTTTGTCATGGTGTCTCTTCACAGCAATAGAACAGTAACTAAGATAGTGGCTCGCTGTATGTTGAATTCCAATAGGGTCAAGTTAATGCTATGGCCAGAAAGTACTAAGAGAGTCAGCAGAAATGATACCTCCAGGAAGGGTTCATACCAAAGGCAAGGTTTTAGGGATGAGGAGAGGTGAACTAAGTGAGGAAGTTCTAGGAAAGATACCTGAAGCAGGGGTACCAGCTTGGGCAAAGGTTCTCAATCAGGTTCAAGTCACTAGGAATAGCAAGTATGTGTACAAAGGTGGAGGGGCAGGGGCCTCAGCTTCTGTTGTCATTGGATGACTTTCTTTCTGATGTTGCAAGGAGCTTGAGGTCCAATTAAGGTAGATGTTTTGATTAGGAGGTAGAAGTGGGGTTGGTTCCAGCCTATTCAGAGCAAACCAAGAATGTCATTGTAGGATACCATACTTACTACTGGGTAGAAAGCTAGAAGCCAAAACTACTTACTATGAAATGAGTGTAGGGTGGCCTTTCTATTTTTAAAATGTTATGGGCTCCCTCCCCCAATATCTCCATTTTACAGTGACCAGGATAAGGCTAATCTCTCAGCAAAGAGAACATACAAAGAGAAGGTCAGAAACCAGTGGGTTTTGAGTAGAAGGCAGCCTTAATGCACACTGTTCTCCATTGCACTATCTTTTTTTTTTTTTTCCTTTTCAAACTGAACCAACATGTAAAAATAGCATTCCCACCTTCTCTTTAAAAAACCAGATGACCTGGAAACACTAAGCCCTCACTCTCACATCTGAACAACTGACTGGAGGTGAGTGGCAGCAATCTTTTTAGAAGAATAATTAGCAGTTTGCCATTGTCCACAACAGTTCTTGTATTCCTAAGTCACATGAAGCATGACTGGATCACCAGGCTCTTTCTGGTTTCTGTGATAGTAGTGGGTCTGTAACCCTCGGTTTAAGGGTCAAGGCTTTGAATCAAACTTGGGTTGAAATGAGATGGCAAAGGAATTGAACTGAAGATTAAAGAAGATATTCCATGCTTGACATATCGTGTAGAATACAGTAGTTATTATGAATGAATATCCATCGAGAGTGTAAATTGTAGGAAGGCAAGCAGAAACCTAGTTGGTTTCAATCTTGTAGTAGTCTCGCTGTTTAGTATATTATTTGGCACACAGTAAGTGTTCAGTAGCTATTGAATGAATGAATGAACGAGTGAGTGAATAATGGGAGAGCTCAGTAGATTAAAAGCTTTTTCCCCCAAAAAACTTTTCAGTAAGGCAAGTTTAATAATACTGGTTTGTTGGGATCCCAAGGTACATCCTGGAAGAAAACCCCACTAGAATGTGTCAAGCTCCGTGACTGCGTTCGGATGATACGCTGCAGTCCCTCGGGAGCCAGCTGGGTCAACTTGCCTCGGACAAGACAAAGCTACGTCCATGAACTCCTTCACTACCTGGTAAGGGACAGTTTGATTTCCGTATTTTCTTTAGATCTCTTCTATTTGAGGAGCAAAGACCGAGACCCATCCCTAAAATCCACCACCCAGCGCCTGGCCAGCGTATAGGACTCTGCCCACACTAAACATGGCCAGTCTTGGGCTTCACGCCGCTGAACCACGCCCGGAGCCTGGAGTCCAAGGGTTAGGCTTCAGGGGCAGTGCCATTCCCACAGTCAACATGGTGGCTGGGCAGCTTCAGCGTGGGGCGGGGCTGCGATCCGAGCGGGTCACGTGAGCCGCCCTCTGGGCGGCCGCGCGCGCACGCGCGCCCCTCGGCCGCTGCTCTCACGCTCGCTCGCTCGCTTTCTCCGCGGCGCTCTGAGGCTGTGTGGGGCGCAAAGGCCCCCCTGCCCGGGTGAGGCGCGGGCGGCAGCGGGATGCGGCGGCGGCCGTGGCGGGGTCGCGGTCCGGGCGGACAGGCGCGGTGATGAGCGTAGTCAGCTACCGCCATGTCCAAGGTAACGGCGCCCGGGCCCGGGCCGCCGGTGGCGGCGGGCGGGAAGGAGAAGCGCTCGTTCAGCAAGCGGCTGTTCCGGAGCGGCCGCGCTGGGGGCGGCGGCGGCGCTGGGGGCCCTGGGCCGGCCGCGCCCTCGTCGCCGTCGTCGGCGCGCTCGGTGGGCAGCTTCATGAGCCGCGTCCTCAAGACGCTGTCCACGCTCTCGCACCTCAGCTCCGAGGGCGCCGCCCCGGACCGCGGCGGCCTCCGCAGCTGCTTCCCGCCCGGGCCGGCCTCAGCGCCGACGCCGCCGCCGTGCCCGCCGCCGCCCGCCTCGCCCGCGCCGCCCGCCTGCGTTTCGGAGCCGGTGCCCGGCGTGGCGGGGCTCCGCAACCACGGCAACACGTGCTTCATGAACGCCACGCTGCAGTGCCTCAGCAACACCGAGCTCTTCGCCGAGTACCTGGCACTGGGCCAGTACCGGGTGGGCCGGCCGGAGCCCTCGCCCGAGCCGGAGCAGCCGGCGGGTCGCGGCCCTCACGGCCAGGGTGAGGTCACCGAGCAACTGGCGCACCTGGTGCGGGCGCTCTGGACTCTGGAGTATACCCCGCAGCATAGCCGAGACTTCAAGGTGAGCCCCGGGGGCCCTGGAGCTCGGCCGCTTCTTGGGCTCCTCCTCTTCGGGCCGGGATGATTTCTGCGCTGGATGCTCAGAGAGTTCTGGAAGAGATAATCCAGATGACAAAGGAACTCATCCCTGCCGCCGTTCATGCATTCAGCTTGCCTTCTTTGAGCTCCCAGAACACGGGCACCGGGTCCTGTGATCCGCCTCAGGGATGGATGTTGCCGGGAGCAAGACCTAGCCTTTATGGAAACTGCAATCTTTGGAGCGGGTGTTGGTGGGAGAGCATTCAGCAGGGTTCGAATCTGGCTGCTTCTTTTCTAGCAAATTACCGAATCTCTTGGTGGCCCCGTTTACCCGGTACCTGCTCACAGCAAGTTGACAGGTTACATTGGCCACTATGCAATTACCCAGTTGGGGCACTTGGAAGGGGGTTCAACCTGATAAGTAAAGTGTTTCAGCTGTGTCTAGTACACTACACACATAGTCCTCTATTTCTTTTTATTCTTAAGTAAAACTAATCAGGTGTTAAAGATAATCCTTTGAAGAAGGCAGAACCGGATGAGGTAGCAGATGGGGAGGTGGTCCTGGCTTTGGTTTGCAGCTGCTGGTGGAGCTGTCCAAGTAGTGAGAGGATGGGATTGAGAGCAGAGGAGTTTGCAAGGTTCAGATGGTGAGCATCATTTGGCCTGAAGGAATTGGGTTCTTGCTGCAAGTTGAACAGGGAGATGATTGGAGACTGAATCTTTGTTCCACTTTAAAGTGGAACATGGGATATTAACTAGAAGTCGAACAATGAAAAAAATCAGTTCCTTTCCATTCCCTTTCTTATTTCCTCATGCATGGGAGAACAGCTCAGTTTGAAATTTACTCCCCCCCACCCCCCGTCTGGCTCACCTTCATGTTCTACCATCTTTCTTTATTCTTTGAGACAGGGTCCCATTATGTAGCCCAAGGCTGACTTTTCAGCCTGAGGTCTTCCTGACAGCCTCCTGTGTGTTGGGATCAACCCCACCCCTTTCCTTTTAAGTAAGAAAACTAGGTTTCAGGCTTAAAGACTTTGGTGAACAACATTAAGTTTATTCAAAAACATTTACTTAGTGTGTCTGTGTGTCATTTGTGTGGAGGTAGAGTCAGTTCTCCCACCTTTATGTGTTCTGTGGGGCTTGAATTCAGGTTGTTAGGGTTACCTGCTGAGCTATCTTGTCAGCCCAACAGTAGCTAAATTTAATAAGGCTATGCTTTTATTGAATTTTTTTTTGATTTGTCTTCTATTTATGGCAAGTGGTACTGGTTTTCCATTGGTGCTATCAAGTTTCTCTCTAAAATACATTTCTCCAAGTACTGATTGAATTTCAGGACTGAATGATGATGTAGCTGAGGAGTCTGCTTTGGGTAAAGTCCTGCCTTCTTGCTGAGGAGCAACATTGCCATTGCATACCACTCCCCTTTTAGTCATTTTTGCTTATATTGTTTAAAAAAAAAGTGCTTGCTGTTTGATCTTGAACCTTGAATGGAAATATTTGTCTGAGACCTCATGTTAGAGGTCTCGAAGTAAGAAACTAGGAGAGTGGTATTTTTATAGGTCCCCTCTCCTTTGCTTACAGTTACCCATCAGTACCCATGACAGTGGGGATGTTTTTAAGGCATTATCCTAGTGTGGAATTTGCAGTTTTTTGGTATGTCATCATCTTAGCATGTAAAAATTGAAGTTGCTTTTCCATTAAGCTATAAGTGAGCAGAAGTGGGTTAGTAATTCTACATGTGCAGGACTGATTGATAGTCATACTTTGGCAAAGTTGAGCATATTCTTCGAGGTTGTTTCCATTGCTTTTTATGAGGTTGTGCGCACTTTTGCATCCATTAAGCTATCAACAGAAATGGGTCAATACTTCTAGAAGAATAGAGACTTTATAGAGGCGCATTTGGCAAAGTTGAACACGTTCTTGGAGTCCTTGTTTTTTGAAACACTGTAGTCTTCTGAATCTTCAGTAGAGTTCACTGTGTATTCATTCATTCACCTCCCTTTTACTGATGGTTTACTCAGATAGGGATGCATTCAACATCAGAAGGAACATTCATTCCCTAATGAGAGTGCTGTGAAGTAGAAATGTTGGACAGGCTGACATATTAGTCTAGTGGTTCTGTGGCGTTCCAGAGGCTTCTTTGTAATTATATTGCTAACCCAGTGCTAACCCAGACCATTCTGTTTCCACTCTATTGTCCTGAGCTGTTACTGAGATTTTGGTCTTGTGTTTGTTACCTCATGGTTGCCTGACAGTGACACCTGCAGTACCTTGTGTTCTGGTAGGAAGACAGGAAGTCAGGAGAGAAATAAATGTTCTCTTGGGACCCTCCAGCAGGCTTCTGCTGACACCTCACTGACTATACCTGTGTCAGGTGGCTGCCACAAGGCTAGAAGCAGGTGAGACAGCCCTCCCAAGTACCTCACTATGTGCCAGACACTTGCAATGAGGGGTAGAATCCAGTGGGACTTAGGTTCCCTAAGAGCTTGTCTTGCACTTGAACTGGCACACAATTCACATTTATAGTTCACTTGAGGATCTTGTTATGCTGGAATGGGGCCTCACAGTATGCTTTTCTTAGGAGCTCCTGGTGATGCCGCTGCTGTCCATCTAGGGACTATACTTTGAATACTAGTGGGCTTCAAGGAGCAGATGAGAAGACATCACAGAAAAGGAGGCACAAGTTACCTGGGCCAGGAAGTTATGAGGACTAGTGTGAAATTACCTATGCTTTGGGGAAATGGTGAGCTATTAGATAGGTGGTTGCACTGTAGCCAGCCATCATGGTGCAGACCACCACAGGGAAGCTTGTTGTAAAGAAATGGTAAAGGGCTTTGTGGGCTGGTTTGGACTCTTATCTGGAAGTTGGGAACAGAGGTGATAAAGTTGGAGAGTGATATGATTTCTTTCTGTCTTTCTCCCTGAGTCTTCACTCCCTCCTTCTTTTGTCTCCCCCCCCCCCCACACACACACCTACTTCTGTCCTCCTCTCCATTGAGGATTGGTTTTCTCCTTTACTTCCATTCCTTTTTTTTCCTGATACTATTTTGAACATAAGGGAAGTTGAAGATGGATGTGAAGCCTGCCTGTCCCTGCCCTCTTGCTCAGTTCTTGGCTCCAGGCAGCCACCACCTGACTGGAGCTGGCAGAGGAATTAGAATCAATTGGCCTTCTTGATTTTGCCTTAAGGTCTAGAAGAGCATTAACTGGATTTGAGTGTGATTTTTATCATGTTAAATCTTCAAGGTTAGACGTGTTTCTAAGTTTTCAGTTAGAAGTCCTCTTTCAGGAGCTTTCCAGGTAAATGTGGGGTTTGTTGTTGTTTTTTGTTTGTTTGTTTGCTTTGATTTGCTTTGATTTGCTTCTGATTGGACTATGGTTTTGAAGTCCATTTGCTAGAATGACAAATTGACTGGCTCAACTTTGATATGCTTTAAGAAATTTCTCTAGGTGCAGCATGCATCTTTTCTTTTCTTTTTTTTTTAAATACAGATATGCTTTCATGCTTTTAGAACATGGTTTGCAAACAGAGCATTTTTGCCACATACCTTGAATCCCTGGGGACATTTGTCTATGTTTGGAGACATACTTGGTTGTTATACCACGTGGGGTGAGAGTGCTGTAGGCATCTATTGGGTAGATTTCAGGGATTCCGTATATAACAATGTGAACCCTTACCCTCCATGATTTAGCCCAAGATGCCAGGATGGTGAGGTGGAAAAGCATTTTGTCTGTTTTCAGCATACAGTTGCCTAACTTTCCTGGACTCTAGCCTGTTTGTTTACCTTGTAGCTTTGTGTATGTGCGTTTGTGCACAAGCTTGCTTATGAGGGTAGAACTTAGACTCAACACAAGGGTCAGCAACTTTCTTTATAAATCAGTAAGTAAATGATTTTGAAATCTGAATATTATTCTGTTTTAAGGGAAAATCACCTTATTGCTTTAATTTTACCAGAAGCATAGTTGTTCAGGTTCTTATGAATACCTTTTGATTTCTAGTACTCAGTCCTCTTTGCAACAAGTGAAAAAAAGACAGATGAGCACTTTGAACCAAGACAGATAAGTTTTATAGTCTCAGTTTTCAAACCATGCTCTCAAAGAGCAATTATAGCAGAGTGACCTTCTGATGGAAGTGCTGCATACTCCCTCAAACACGAGTCTTAGGCCAGAGTGGCCTTATCAGCCCAGCCACCGGTATGACAGGTCTCAGCGAAGCACCTGAGCAGGTCTAGTGGACATGCTGAGACAAGCAGCATTTTTCCCTCCGAGACTGTGGTGCAGAACTGTAGTGAAAATAAGGTCATCTGCAACCAGGTTTGAATGTATGCCATTGCTCCTGAGGCTCAGGTACTTTTGGAAATCTTGCTTAAAAACAGTCCTTTCCGACTTTTTAAAGTGCAGGAAATGGGAAATTGTCTAAGAAGGGGGAGTACAATACACAGACATTTGTAGAACTCCATGTTTGCTGATGTTCTGGTTCTTTTTGCTATTATAATACCACAGACTGGGAGATTACAAATAAATTTATTAAAATTCTGGAGACTGGAAATTGCTATGTTGAGGGGCCCACATCTGGCAAAGGGCTTCTTCCATCATCCTATGGCAGAAGATGAGCAGTCAGGAAACTGAGAGCATGGAATTTTGTGGGGCAGGTGGAGGGGTGAGGAAGGAGGGTAAGAATGGAGTATAACTTGCTCTTTTTAATTAGGAACCTACTCCTGTGATAATGACATTTATCTTTTCTTGAGGTCAGGGTCCAATTGCTTCTTAAAGGTCTCAGTGTTTGTATTTGGAATTACATTTCAAAAACAGGAGTTTTGGGGGTCATGTTTAAAACATGGCATCTGACTTAAACCGTACCACATCTGCTCAACTATTGTGTTTAAAGGAGCTAGTTTAGGTGAGAGGTTGGGAATAGAGGGTTTAGTGTAAAGATTATAGAATAAAGTTCTTGTCCTCAGAGGACCCATCTATTTATAAGGA